TCTTTCCTGCTCCTACTTTTACCTGTGATGCCTGCATGACTGCTCCTATAAAACACCTCTGAGCTCACAGGGAGAAGCCGAGGCCACCTCTGAGCTCATGAAGAGAAGCCAAGGGCCCTTTGCTCAGGGAGCATCTGGCCACTCAGGCTGGGCCCCTCAAGTTCTGCAGAGAACACCTGAGAGTGTGGTGGAGAAGCTGGCAGTGCCAGGCCTGAGCTCCTTCCTGGTGGAAGGGACTGTCTGGAGACTGTGTCTGGCTAAGTCCAGCCCATCTGGCCACCAGGAGCTCCAAGGTGTGATCCCCCATAACACTCCGCCCCTAGAAGTGGTCATAAACTTCACGAGGAGATGCTGCTGACAGCTCGCAGGTTAGCCTTTGTGGAGTGAGACACCACCCAAGTCTAAGCAGTACAAACTCCACAGCCTGCTGGGATTCAGAGGCACGCCAGAGCCCCCTGCACCTTGCAAGGCCCACTGGGCACACCTCGTCCCACCTCTGCCTGGGATATCAGGTCAACAGCAAGAAATCAGCCAGTGCTACAAATCCAGTACTTTTTGCCCCAGAGAGCTGGTTATTAAACAGTGTGTGGCCTGCCATGTTCATCAGGGAACAGGAACCAGGAGGGAACAGGTTGTGGGAGACAGCTTGAACCCAGCCAATTCTCCAGCTCTTCTTTATCCTGTGACTTCTCATTTCTCCTGCCACAAGCATCCCTCCCTGGGTCTGTCATGCCGGGTGTTAGGTGCCCTCACGTCCTGGGTTAGACTAGGCCCAGTCTTCCCTGTGCCAGGTTCCTTGGCCTCTAACTGCAGGCACAGCCCTGGGTCTGAGCAGCACTTGGAAGCTTCTGGTGAATGACCTATCCAGACATGGCAGACTGGCTACTCAGACCAGAAATCAGCTTCAGGCTGGGCTGAGCCCACAGAGAAAACATCTCTTCTTCACTCTCTCCCCAGAGGGCAGCAGCCCTTGCTACCACCTGCTCACATCTAGTTCTGTGGGTCTGGCAAGCCCAAGCCAGCTGGTTTCTTCAACCCCTGGGGCATACTAGACTTCTACCTGTGGCAGGATTTAGAGGCCTCTACACATGTAATGTGGTTTGTGGAAGACTCAGACTCTCACTAGGCCAACACTGCCATCATGGCACCCAACCACATTTTGTTCCTAGGGCTGGACAAATCCAATCTTGTTCTCTCCCAGGGCACAGGGTCTCAGGATCAGTTTGGGGGCCTTTGGCTTTCCCAGTCTAGAACCTGAGTTTGGGTCCAGTCAAGTCAGGCCAGTCTGCAGGCTGACACCCCTCTCCCATGTGCCAAATGGCCAGACCAGGTGTACAGCAACCTTTATGCAAATCAAAGCTCTGCTTTACATGCATAAGAGGCACTGCCCGGTGGAAGCCAATGTAAGGCCATCAGAGGTAAATGCACTTTTACAAAGCAACACCCTCCCAGGATCCATCCAGTTCTGGAGGAAAGGGCCTGGGTCAGCCCTGCACATGGCTGTATCTCCAGCACCAAAACAGGTTGTAAGTCACACTTATGAGATTCTACGCTTTCTTCTTATGAACTTATAATTTCTGATTTCCAAAAGTCAAAAGAGGTTACAAAGACACCGCAAGCCCCACATGGGAGGAGCTGAGGAGGCATCACTCTGGGCCCAGAGAGCGGGCACTGAAGTGTAGGACTGGGTGAGACCCCACCCAGCACTCCCAGGCCTTAAGCAAGGGACCAGCAGTTTACCCAGCCAGTTACAGCTCAGTTTCATCAGATGTAAGATGATGAGGGAAGCCTTTCATGCCGAGTGTTACTGAGGAATAAGGCAGGTGCAGGGGTCAACCTGCTGCTTCACAGACACTCAATACATGTCAGCTGTCCTCACCTGAAGGGCCTCAACTGAGGAAGTCAATTTGCCATTTCATTGTTGGCGGCTATGGGCTGAATGTGTATGCTCCAAAATTCACTGGGATTACCCCAAAGGAATGATATTAGGAGGTGGGGCCTATGGGAAGCAATTCGGTCATGAGGGTGGGATCCCTTATGATGGGATTAGTGCCCTTATAAGAAAAGACACTAGAGGGCTTGCTTATACATGTGCACTCTCGTTCTCTTTCTCTGCCACATGAGGATACAATAAGAAACTGTCCATTTACAATCCAGGAAGAGAGCCCTCACCAGACATCAGATCTGCCAGTTCCTTGATCTTGGACTTCCCAGCCTCCATAACTGTGAGGAGTAAATGTTGATTTTAAGCCTCCCAGCCTATGATATTTCAGTTTAAGCTAAGACATTCTCCTCATAAAGCAGAGAACATAGATAAGGACATTCCCCTCTAAAGCAAGAGGGCTGTTAGAATTGCACAAAGAGGTCAATTGCCTTGGCCCAAAACTGATCAAAAAAGCACAGGTCCAGAGCAAGGCACCCTGTGGCGTGGGGTGGTGGAGGCTGTGTGTGCTGTGCGTCTGTGGGTGGAGGACCCTCTGTGAGCAGGACTCCAGGCTCTGCATAGACAGGGAGGAGTTGTCACACGTCACTCCACTGAACTGCTCCTCAGACATGCCTGAGTCAATGATTCAGAAAACCAACCCAGAAAGAAGAACAAGAGGAATCAATTCCAATTTGTTAGAGCCTTCTGGGTGTGATAAAGCCAACCCCTGCCATCTCCACTGTCTTACTGCTTCCCCTTCTCTAAGAATTGAAAGCACCATTCAATTAAGGTAATTAAATTCACCCGGAAGATCTTGGGCTCAAAACCACACTACCGGCAAGTGGTCAAAACCAGCAACAAAGCAAACCCCAATGGCTTCCTGTGGAAAGATGGGCAGGGACGAGGAGGAAAATGGAACACATCTTCAGCAGCTCAGGAGCACTCTGGGCCTGCAGGGGAGCCCCAGCTCTGCAGACCCTAGCTGTCTGAGCCTTCAGCAGCACCAGAACCCTCCCCAGACAGGAAGGACTCCATGTTTATGGACCGAATCAAAAGTTTCACTTCTGTGGATGTCTGGGAGAACTGAGCTGAGAAGATCCTTGGACATGACATGAAAGTGAAATGAAACCCTCCTTTTCTTCCCCAGAGCCACCAATTCTCCCATGAACTCCAGCCCATGAGCCATAAGCAGGGCTGGGGACACCTCCCAGGACATGCCTATGGGAGCCTGAGTCCACAGGCCACAGGTTAGGAGTTTCATCCTGGAGAAAGCACTAGGTGGTAAGGTGGTGAGCCCAGGCTGACTCTCACCCCCACTTCTTCCGTCTTTACATGCGATGTGGCACTGAGCAACATCCTGCACCTCTCTGTGCCTTTGTTTCTCAATCCAGAAGACAGTGACAAGGCCCACTCAGCTTGCCTCAGAGGAGTCATGAGAACCAAACAAGAGCGTAGATGCTGACGTTTGTTATGAACTACAGGGTGATGCATACACATGAGCCGTGACTGTCACTGTGTCATCCCAGTGTTGACTCACCACATTGGCTTCCTCTGATTGTGATCCACTTTGAGTACTAAAAGTTGGAGCCACCCTTGGGTTGCCAGATTTAAAAGAAGAAAAAGAAGAAGTCGTCCAGTGGAATCTGAATTTTAGATAATGAATAATTTTTTTAGTATGAGTGTATCCCACGTATTGCATGGGATACACTTACACTAAAAAAGCATTTATTATTTATTTGAAATTCACATTTCACTGGGTGTTCTGCATTTTTAATTTGCTCAGTCTAGCAGCCTGGTCATGCCAGATCACCAACTGTTCCCTCTGTGCAGTGTCCCCAGGACCACCAAGACCCAGTCCCAAGCCTTCTTTGTCACTCACCAGCTGTGAGACGTGGCATATCCAGGTCCTCCCTCTGAGGGTGCTTTGTCTCACCTCATGGGTGATTGTGGTCCCTGAGCTGGGCCCTCTAGGGTCACCCAGTGGGGCTCTAGTCCTGTGGACCTGATGCGCTCCTCAGCTATGTGGGACGGGCACCTGTAATAGGGCCTGGCATGTAGGGATGATGAATCTCCTCTGCACGTCCTATCCTTACAGCCTGGGACACATGAGGGTCTGGGGTAGATCAGCAAAAGCGGGACTGCGTGACCTTTTCAGGCCTGGGCTGGCTGCCAGCTGGGAGCCCAGAGGAAGATAAGGAGAACACGGACCTCCATCCCTCTGCACACCACAATAAACCTCCGTCATCACATCCGAGGGTCCAAGAATTGCAGTCAGCAACCAGCGCTGAAAACATTTCCCAGTGACCAGAGTGCACCAAGCACCCTGCAGGCAAAAGATGAACCAAGACAGGGACCTCACACCAAGGATCTCAAAGTCTAGTAGGAGAGAGAGATTCACCGCTGTGAAAGAAGAATAAAGCAAAGTAAGTGATAAAAAAGGGAAGAAAAGATTGTACAAGGAACGGAACAGAGGAGGAAGCTGTCAGCAGCTCTGGCTGAGGACAGAGAGAGACATTCCAGGCAGAGGGACTGCTACTTGAGGGATCCAGTCCAGGACACTTGGGTCCTGTGGGAGCAGGCAGAGCTCCCCTGCCAAGAGGGCCTTGAGGGTCATGCATAGGCATTTGTAAGGGATTAAGAGGGAGAGAGAATTGCATCCGCAAAAAGCAGCACATCCAGGCAATAATAACAGCAACATGAGGCGTGGCATGGGAAAAAAGCATCATGTGAGAAAACATTTCGGAAGAGTTAGAATTTAGCAATGACTGTGCAAAGGTTATTTCGGTGCTCATCTCAAGGAAAAGCTGATTCATGGGGATTCATGCTCAGATTGAGTTTGTTTGATGTATTCTGATTCAAAAGATGACTCTACAATTAGGAGAAGACAATACACATCCTTGAGTGTAATTCTCCAGGCTCCAAGGCTCCATACAGGGCACTCCCAATTCGCCTGTGCACATATTCACAGTGGGCGTGGCAGACCCTTCACTGTTCTGCAGGGGCTCGACTGGAAAGTTCATTTTTAAATTCTTGCCCGAAGATCCTGTTTCCCCTGGTGTGCTCTGGTGTTTTGCAGAACTTCTCCACCTGATGTGAGTTTGGCCTGGGTCAGCAGAGGAAGTGCTGGAGGTTTGCAGAACTGGAGGTTTGCCGTTGAGTCCTGCAGAGTTGCTAGAGGTACGGAGCAATGCCAGCATTTCGTCCACTGACCCGGTAATTTAGTTAACGCATCACCATTCACACTGTGGCTGTAAGCAGAACCCCAAGTAATGCACTCAACAAACGTTTGCTGGACGCTGGCCCTCCAGAAGGCATCAAAGCCACTCCCCAACTTAGAGCACTGAGAGTGAGAGCAGTGAGAGGGACCAACTGGGAAATGGCAAAGTCAAGATGAAGTCACCTCTCATCTCTCCCTGATAAAAACTCACTCTGAACATACACAGTATATACCACGCTGCCGACAGACGCCTTCTCTGGAGCCAGCCAGTCAACAGTCTCTAAGAACAATCCCATCCACCTGCTCCCATCTCTTACCAGGGGGAATTTTTCGTATTTGGGGATTTGGAATCAGAAAGCAAATAAAATCCACTTGGATTCAAATTCACTAATTTGAAATTTGTGATAATTCTGTGACTATCGAATTATAATTGACCGTCAATAAAGTAAGTCCTGCTAAGCCTGTCAACAGTGTGAGTAATATCATGACAGGTGGAGGGGTTTGCTCATTTATTTAACAGAGATTGCTTGCACTGTGTGCTATGCTACATGAAAAAGAAACAGACAGGCATGGATCCCTGACACCAATAAGCACTCAGGTTAGCAGGAGGGACAAACATTAAACAACAAATCATTCAGTTAAATGCTTAATTATAATTATGGTAAATGCTGCAAGATGATGGGCATAGCCTATGATAAAGGGATTTAACGGGCAGACTTGGAATAGCCTGAGGAAGCTGCGTTACCGAAGGGACACGTGAACTGGGCTCCGAAGCACAGTGTTGGAGTTAACTCGGTAACGATGAAAGGATGGAAGTAAAAAAGTCCAGGCAGAGGGAACACCATGTGCAGAGGCCCTGAGGCAGAAAGTAGGGTGGCGTGTTGAAGAAGGTGGAAAAAGACCAGGGCAGCTGGAAAGCCAAGCATGAGGGGAAAGATCACACAAGGTGTGGATGGAAAGAGGATCTGTGTTAAGGAGATTGATCTTCATTCCTTAAAACTGGAAAACTATTGAGGAATTCTAGGCAAGAGGTCAATATGAACAAGTTTGAGTGTTGAAAGCTGCCTCTTGGCACAGGGCAGGAATGGGCTCCTGCAGTGGTTCAAGGATCTGAGACAGCAGTTTGGGACACACAGTGACCGTGGAGATGGAGACCAGGGTAGAAGGAGAACTTTGGAGATGAAACTCGCAGGACTAGGAAACGGATGTCATAGGGGAAGGCATAGGGAGGAGGAGGATGAAGTCGAAGGTGATGTCAGGTTTCTGGGGTCCCCAGGGAGAAAGCTGGCTTGCAGAAGGCTCATGGATTCTGCTTTAAACCTGTGGGTTGGAAGGGCTGTGAGATGGGTACCGAGCTGCCTGGTGGATGGGAGGAGGCATGGACTGGTCAGGGCCTCAGTGTTTGGATGCTTACAGGGACCACAGGTGTGGGGACAATCTGAATGTTGTCCTGAATGGAGACTGTAGAGTGATAAGAGAACAGGTTCCATGGCTGAGAGCAGAGGAAATCCAGCAGTCAAGGAGAGGAAGAGACTGAACATCCAGACAGGGAGGAGAGAAGAAGAGTTCAAGTGAAAGAGCATCTCAAGTAAACAGTGGCCACGCGTCTAGATTGCAGCCTAGAAGTTAAGTCAGATGAGGAGCAAAAATGACCCATCAGAAGATCCATCGGGGAGGAGTGAGGGCCAGACACTAAAGGCCGAGTGAAACGGGTAAGGAAATAATGGAGGTAGGGAGGAGATAGGAAGCATTTAAGAGAATAGTCTTTGAAGGCCACAGACATAAATAGGAACTGACCAGGTCATGATTAAATATTGATGTTTATTTCTATGCATTCATTAGACCAGGTTCCAAGACCTTGTTTAGAGCATGGCCCTGCCATGTGCACTGTACCCTCCATCATGCTGCCTGAAGGGAACACGCCCTTTCACCGGCAAAGTGCTCTATGAGCAAGACTTTTCACCCGTTCAGAGTGCCTTCCTTCAAATGCTTCAAAGTGGTGAGCAAGACAGATATTTGCTGGCCTCTGGAAAATTCATTCCAGCAGCAATGTCAGTGAGTCCATGAGGCAACTGCCTAGGGGGAAAGCCCAAGCACAGGGTGAGGGGTCCCCTAACCATTCACAAAATAAATGCCGCCATGTCATTCTGCATCTCAGTCTCATCCATATGTGGCACCAGGTGGGTTTCATTTTCATCCCTAAGTCAGATCTCAGTGGAGCTGCAGACAGGGATGTGGCCTTATTATTTAGAGTTCCAAATGGATCGATCTGAATTTTTCGAAAGGCCAGTAAGACCCAAGGCCAGGAGTATTTCTCAACAAAATTCTTATTATCTTTTCCCTTTTTTTCTGTGTCTCAAAAAAAAAAATTTGTTTTTGCCCTCCAGGAAAAAAAATCAGAATAAACATAACCCAATTCAGAGCATTACCACAAATGGTTATTGAGCTTCTATTTATTAAGCTCAGTACACAAAGGTATACAAGACTCCCTTCCTGGGTTCAAGGAGCTTCCTTTCTAGTTAAGGAGAGAAAGCAGCGATTATCAGTTCTTGAAACATATGGGTCATGATGTATGAAGGGACAACATGGCTGAGCTATGGAAAAGGTAAACCTAGCATGCTTTGGGAACATGAAGGTGGCCCATCTAAGCCAGCCTTGGGAGTCAGGGGTGGGTCCTCACCGTATGGTGGTAGACACAAAGCACATCTGTGATTCTCCAAAGAAATAGACTCCACAAATTCAAGCTATTATGATTATTAATATTATTAATAAACTACCTTGAACTAGATTAATATCCAGGAGCTACAAGCTGGGAAAGGTCTTATTGAAACCCCAAAGGTCTGCATTTAAAATGTGCAGAGTGGATTTATTTTAATTAGTTCACTCTTCATTCTGAGCATTGTGAAAATCCTCCTGGGCAGCTTTTTGGTTCTTTTAGCTGTCAGAAGACTCAAGCCTCCTGCCAACAAGGAATCCAATACTATGCTGCCATTTGCTGCGTGGACTCAGCTTTCACTTCTCCAGTTCTCTTTGCTGCAAAACCCAACTTATCAGTTCACTGGGAAAAGGGCCTTGGGTCAGATTTTACTAGCAAAAAAATAATTCACAGCTGGGTCAGTCAAATTAGAAAACTCAAAGGCTTAAAACAGGTTTCTAAAAATGTCTTGGACCATGGACATATTAATGAATATTAGAAGAGACATAAACAGTCAAATATGCCTGTTTTTTTAGAATTTCGTTGAGCTCAAGTATGGATTCCTTTTCATTTTTGAAGGCCAACTACACTGTTGTATAACTGACATTTAAAGATACTTTGGGTTGGGCATGGTGGTTCAACCCCATAATCCCAGCACTTTGGGAGGCTAAGGCAGACAGATCACTTGAGGTCAGGAGTTCAAGACCAGCCTTGCCAATATGGTGAAACCCTGTCTCTACTAAAAATACAAAACTTAGCTGGGCATGGTGGTGCACACCTGTAATAATCCCAGCTACTTGGGTGGCTGAGGCACAAGAATTGCTTGAACTTGGGAGGCAGAGATTGCACAGAGCCAAGATCACACTACTACACTCCGGCATGGGTGACAGAGCAAGACCCTGTCTCAAAAAATAAAATAAAAGATACTGAACTTCTTCATTGAGCTTGCGCTTGAACCTTTGGTCAGCTGGGTTTCACTGAAATTATTTTTCTTCTTTCTAGATGGGCAGTGATGACACCAAATATAAGCATAAAAAGACAGTTTAAAACTACAGATCCTAAAACCCAACACGGCAGGCTCCTGCAGCTTCCAGTGCTGTAACAGGTATGGAACTAACTCAGCAGCAGCATACAGAAACACCTTCTGGTTTTGGCCACTATGCTGAAAGGTACCACGGGGGCTGGGGAGCGAATGAGGTCAAGTTTATGACTGTCTCATCTGACCTCAGGTATATCAAATCAGAATTGAAGAAATTATCTGAATAAAGGTAGGAAAGTGGGGAGACAGTGTCTCTTTTTCCTGAGACAGAAGCAATGTGGTTATTTTCTGAATGCTCTGAAGATCAGTAAACATCCTTCACCACTGTTTGTAATGAGGGTGGAAACCCAGGATTAGGTAGGGTTCTTCAGCCAGAAGCAATAGAAGCAGAAACTGAACAAATGAGACAAAAATGCATATGTATTAAAAGAAAAATGAAGGTCTTGTAGACTCAAGCTGATGGCTAAAGTTCCAGGCTAGGAAGCGTCAGGGGCCAGGCATAGTGAAAGCGCTACCACCGGCAAGGAAGCCTGAGCACACTTCCGTCCTGTGTGGCTCCAGGAGAATTGCTACAGTTCCTGGGCCTGTCCTAGGTCTCACACCTGCTCTTGGCCCTGGGGAGCCTCTGCAGGCACCTTGACTTTCAGCCCCACTAAGACTGAAAACCAAAGGGAGAGGAAATTTCCCAAAAGGAATCAAGTGCTTTTTCTCAGAGGATGCATGCTGAGTATTCAAAAAACAAATAGCAAATACCTACTAATATGAGGATATGTTTAATTGGGTAAAGGCTGCTTGCTTCACTCTATTTAAGCTTGTAAATTTAGATTTACAACCTAACCTGTTTTCATCTAAATGAAAACGATCTTATTCTCATTCAAAGTGTAGAAACCCCTAATATTACTGAATTCAGCCATTGCCAAGATCGGAATCCCAGCATTGAGGACACCAGGAGACTCCTGACCATTTTGATAGGATCTCAGGGTACAGAAAACCTGACTCACAGTGGTCAAAGGCACTCAGGTTCCATCAAACCCCACGCCAGCCTCGATAACACAGACCCGAGTGGGATGGTGCTGCCACGGGCTCACAGCTTAGCAGTGCTGGCCGGGACCTGGGCTCCTCACCCGTCTACACTGCCACCCTCTGCAAATTGGCCTTCAGTGGCCATTGCTTGTCTCAGAGCTGCAAAGTGAATTCAGTGTTATGGTTGAGTCAGGCACCCCCCCCCCCAAAAGACTCTCATAACTTCAGAATGTGACTTTGAGGAAATAAGAGTGCTACAGAGGTATTATACTTAGTTAAGAAGAGGTTATTAAGGCAGGCCCTAATCCAGTATGACTGGTATCCTTATGAAAAGGGGATATTTGGGTAGGGCACAGTGACTTATGACTGTAATCCCAGCACTTTGGGAGGCCAAGGCTGGCAGATTCCTTGAGTCTGGGAGTTCAAGACTAGCCTGAGAAACATGGTGAAATCCCATTTATACAAAAAAAATACAAAAATTAGCCAGGTATGGCAAAGTGCACCTGTAGTCCCAGCTACTTGGTAAGCCAAGGCGGGAAGATCACTGGAGCCCAGGAGGTCGAGGCTGCAGTAAGCCATGATTACACTGCTACACTCCAGCCTGAGTAACAATGAAAAAAAAATTAATAATTAAAAAATTTTAAAATTTTTTTTTAAAGTAAAAATGTGGACACAAACAAGCATAGGGGGAAGATGATGGGAAGACACAGGGAGAAGATGGCCATCCTCAAGCTAAGGAGAGAGGCTAGGACAGATTCTTCCTTATAGCCCTCAGAAGGAACCGACCCTGCAACACCTCGATTTTGGACTTCCAGCCTCCAGAACTGTGCAGCAATACATTTTCCATGTTTAAGCCATTGTTTGTCATGGCAGCCTCAGCAAAGAAATCAAGCAGTTTCTGGCTTCTTGTCTGCATTCAAGGCAGGAAGAACAGCACTGACAGAGCAGAGACAGCAGGAATTATTCCTTTGACCAGAAAGGCAGGAACTTTCACAAACTGTTGGCTGCTTCCATTGCTGTGACCACAGGCGTGTCCCCTGGCCATGCTAGCTGCTTGGGAATCTGAAGACCGGAGCGTGTGTCTTCTACTGGAGAAGATGTGAGCCCGGCCATCCTTAGTGTCTCCCCGACTCCCCACTCAAGCTGATGCACTTTCCTTGTATGCAGCCTTCTAAAAAGCATATGCTGTCGTGTGTGCTTTCCATGGAGCTAGCAGCCTGCCTTTCAAGGTAGGGCTGAGGAGCCTGTGCAGAGAGGCCTTCCCAGAGCAGGTCAGTATCTCCTCATCAGCTCATTCAGTCCACTAGAACACAGGTCCCATCCTTTCTCCATCTCAGTTCTGTCGTTCACAGAAACAAGTCTGTCTGCTGATGAATCAACATTGGAAACTCACCGGAGTGCTGTGGTCAAGAGATGGAAATAACAAACCCCAATGAAGCCTGGCCTCCAGGGTGAAAGACAAACATCACTGACAGCCCGGCAGCTCTGAGCCTGTGCTAGGATGCTACCCCTAACCTCCTGGAGCCTTGCAGTGAGGCAACATGATCCGCACTCTAAAGAAACAAAGAGAATGGTTGCAATCTCACAGCACACATGCAGATGACAGAGATGCACTGAGGTGGCTGGCAGCCAGCCTGTGGTCCCTCAGCAAGGGGACATGGAGCCAGACAGGACCTGGGGCTTCTGACATGCAGCTCGGCCTCCCTGATGGGAGCACCTTCACTGTCCATCTCCTGGAGCAATAGCAGTGACTAAGGCCAGCCAAGCAAAGAGGGAAGAGTGTCGCCTGCTCAGCTCTGCTGCTGTGAATGGGAGTTGTCTGGCAGCATTTGATCTGCCAGATGAACGCTTAGCAGCACCCTGCCAGATGTCCGCTGTCTTAGACACCCCGCACTTGCATCCACTCCGGGATCCATACATGCTATTTTATGTAACTTTTAATGTACCCATTCTCTTATCCCCTGCCCCAGGCCGGGCAATGTTCTAGGCAATGGGAGATATGTGTCCCAGGTGGAGCAGTAAGTATTCCAGAAGGCAGCAGCATCTGCAGACAGGATCCACAAGAGAATGCCATGCAGCACCATGCACCCATCAGGATGGGTACTATCAAATAAGAAAAAAACAAAGCAGAAAATAACAAGTGTTGGCAAGTTCGTGAAGAAACTGAAACCCTTGCACGCTCTTGGTTGAAATGAAAATTGATGCAGCCACTATGGAAAACAGACAATAGGTTCCTTAAAAAAATTAAAAATAGAGCAGCCATATAATCCAGCAATTCCACTTCTGGGGATATACCCAAAAGAATTGAAAGCAGGACCTTTGAGAGATATTTGCACATCCACATTTGTAGCAACATCATTCACAATAGCCAAAAGATGGAAGCAACCCAAGTGTTCACCAATGGAGGAATGGATAAGCAAAATGTGATATATACACATACATATACACACTATATATATATACAGATACACACTATATATACATACACATACATATACACACTATATATATATAATACATAGACACACAATATATACATACATATACACACACCATATATATACAGATACACACTATATCTATACACACATACATATACACAATATATATATACACATACATATACACACACTATATACATATACATATACACACTATATATACATACATATACACACTATATGTATACACAATACATATACACACAATATATACATACACATAGATGCACTATATATACACACATACATATACACACAATATATATATGCACATACATATACACAATATATATACACATACATATAAACACAATATATATACACACATATACACACAATATATACATACACATATACACACAATATATATACACACATACATATACACACAATATATACATACATATACACACACTATATATATACAGATACACACTATATATATACACACATACATATACACACAATATATACATACACATATACACACAATATACATACACATACATAAACAATATATATACATACACATATACACACTATATATATGCATACATATACACACTATATGTATATACACATACGTGTGTATATATGTATCACATACATATATACATATATACACACACATACGTATGTGTGTATATATATATCACACACACATATATATAGTGGAATATTATTCAGCCTTGAAAATGAAATTCTGGCACATGCTATAACACAGATAAACCTTGAGAACATCATGCTAAGAGAAATAAGCCAGTCACAGAAAGACAAATACAGTATGATTGCACTTTCTGAGGTTCCTGGACTCATCAAATTCATAAAGATAAAAAGCTGAATGGTGGCTTCTAGCAGGAGGGGGAAATGGGAAGTTGTTACTTAATGGGTGAAGAGTTTCAGTTTTGAAAGATGAAAGAGTTCTGGAGATTGACTGCAGGATGATATAAAGATACTTAACATTACTGAGCTGTATCTTAAAATTGATTCAAATGAGAATTTTTATATTGTGTGTATTTCACTACTTAAAAAAAAGGGTGGCTATAACAGAGGTAAAGGAGAATTAGGGAGACCCCAAGGATGTAGAGTTGGGCAAAGGGGGCATGTTGCTGGAGCCCAGTCAGTTACTGGGGGAGGGGCCATAGCTACAGAGGACTGAGGCCCCCATGTCACAGCAAGACAGGAGGGCTGAAGAAATGCCAGGCATGCTGACTTCCCCTCCCTCCAGGCTCCTGCAAGCACATCCACTGCCCACCCCTACAGGCTGGTCCCAGAGGTAAGGGGCCTAGGCAATGCAGACTCTGGGGACTGTATCCTCTTGAGCTGGTTCTGGGATGAGGGGCAATCAGTGAACAGGCAACCTAGCAGTCCCCACATGCCTTCCACTGACAGTCTAATCATGGGTGAGCCACAAAGATGTAAACTGAACTTTAGATCATGCTCAGTACTATGAAGAAAATAAACCATGCACAGAGAGAAAGATGAGCAAGGAGGGAATGCTCCATGGAATATCAGGGAAGGGCTCTGCAAAAACACCGCTGAACTTCAGGCACTGTATGGGTCCAATTCTGCAGAAGACCAGAACCAATAGGATATGTTGGTACAGAGAGAGAGCAATCTATTTTAAGGAAGTGGCTTGAGTGACTGTGGAGGCTGGCAAGTCTGAAATGAGCATAGCTGGAGACCCAGGAAGAGTTGATGACACAGCTCCAATCCAAAGATGATCTGAAGGCAGAAGTTCCTCTTCCTCAAGGGACTGTCTTTTTTTTTTTTTTTTTGAGACGGAGTTTCGCTCTTGTTACCCAGGCTGGAGTGCAATGGCACGATCTCAGCTCACCGCAACCTCCGCCTCCTGGGTTCAAGCAATTCTCCTGCCTCAGCCTCCTGAGTAGCTGGGATTACAGGCACGTGCCACCATGCCCAGCTAATGTTTTGTATTTTTAGTAGAGACGGGGTTTCACCATGTTCACCAGGATGGTCTCGATCTCTCGACCTCGTGATCCACCCGCCTCGGCCTCCCAAAGTGCTGGGATTACAGGCTTGAGCCACCGCGCCCGGCCGGGACTGTCTTTTTTTAAGCCATTTTATTGAGGTATGATTGGCATACAAAAAGCTATATGTATTTAATGTGTACAACTTGATGAGTTTGGAGATAAGTATGCACCCCTTGAAACCATCACCACAATCCATGCATAAACCCATCCATCACCTCCAAACATTTCCTTCCACCCCTTTTATTCATTAATTTTGTCTGTATGTGTGATAAGAGCATTTAACATAAGATCTATCCTCAGCAAATCTCAAGCACACAACACAGTATTGCTAACTACAGACAGCTGCTGTGCATCAGTCTCCAGAACTAATTCATCTTGCATAACTGAAACATCTCATCCTTTGACAAATAACTCCCCACTTCCCTGCTCCCCAGCCTCTGACAATCCCCATTCTACTCTCTGCTTCTGTAAGTTTCACTATTTCAGATTCCTCACGTAACTGACATCATGCATATTTGTCTTTCTGTGACTGGGTTGTTTCTCTTAACATAATGTGCTCCAGGTTCACCCACGTTATCACAAATTTCAAGATTTCCTGCTTTTTTTTAAGGTGGAATAATTCTATTGTATGCACACACCACATTTTCTTCATCCATTCATCCATCGATGGAAATTTAGTTTGCTTCTGTGTCTTGGCCATTGTGAGTAATGAACATGTGGGTGTAGATACCTCCTTAAGACCCTAATTTCACTCCTTTAGGCCTGTACCCAGATATGGAAATGATGGATCAGATAGTAGTTCTAGTTTTAATTTTTTGAGGAATCTTTATACTGTTTCCCACAGTGACTACATCAATTTACATTTCCACCAATAGTGTACAGGGGCTCCCTTTTCTCCACATCCTTACCAACACTTGTCACCTTTTCTTTCTTTGAGAATAGCCGTCTAGCAGGCACGATGTAATATCTCCTTGTAGCTTTTATTTGCATTTCCCTGATGGTTAGTGAAGGTGAGCACCTTTTTATATACCTGTTTGCCATTTCTCTGTCTTTGAAGAAATATCTGTTCAGTTCCTCTACCCATTTTTAAATCAGAAGGTTTGGGGTATTGTTTTGTTTTGTTATTCAGGTGTAGGCATTTCTCATGCATTTTGGATATTAACCCTTTATCAGATATGCAGTTTCAAAACATTTTCTTCCATTCCGTAGAACACCTTTTCATTTTTGTGATTGCTCCCCTTGCTGTGCAGAAGCTTCTGAACTGATGCAATCCCAGTTGCCTGTTTTTGCTTTTGTTGCCTGTGACCTCAGTCTTTTTACTCTTAGGGACTTCAACTAATTAAATGAGAGCTACCTGCCTTACAGAAGATAAACTGCTTTCCCTAAAGTGTGCTGAGTTTAGTGTTAATCACATCTAAAAAATACCTTCACAGTCGTAGCTAAATTGATCTACAATCTAGACATATAGCAGGCTAGCCACGTTGATATGTAAAATTAACCATCACAGGCACCATTTTCCACCTGGACGAGCACATATTCTTGCATAGAGCTGGATACCCTGTTCACACCCTGTACTTTTTTCTTTTGCAGAGAGAAAAAAAAAATCCCCACTTTACAATTCCATCTGGTCAATGAGAAGCTCTAGTTTTGTGGGAAGAGGGAAACACCTAATCTTGCCAGAATCATCAGCAGAGGCGCCTGCTGGCTGACGAGGACAGTTTTCTTGGAGACAACAGACGATGCAGGGAAACAAGAAGTGCACAGACGGGTTCAGCGACTCCTCCAGCATCGGCAGTGTGCTGGATGATGCAGACAGGGAGGTGAGCAGCCTCACAGACCGGGCGTTCCGGAGCCTGTGCATCTCAGAGGACACATCCTTCCATGACTCTTACCTGGCCGTGTCCCCAGATATCAGCCGACAGGTGTTTGGGACTCTCCAGCAGAGAACAGTGAGCCACACCCAGAGGAAAAGTGGCATTTGGAGCCAGTTACCGTCACAGGGCACAGAACATTCGGGCTGGGCAGCCACCTTCCAACAGCTACCCAAGTACGTTCAGGGAGAGGAAAAGTACCCCAAAACCAGCCCCCCACCAACACCAGTCCAGAGGAGACTGGAGGTGCCAGTTTCCGGTCTTCGGAGCAGCAACAAGCCTGTCTCCAAAGTATCAACACTAATTAAATCTTTCGACAGGACTGAGACCCAACATTGTGAGAACAGAACCACTACCAGCAAGCCTCCGGCTCTGAAAAATCCCCCCAAATTTGCCCCTCTTCCAGAAAGCAGTGTCAACTTCTGCTTTGATTCTGCCTTTCTGACAGTCAGGAGGGTACCCGCTGAAGTTTCCAACACCCATCAGAACAGCCACCAGTCCAGCAGAAAACACAGAGAACAGGAGTCCCCCAAGAATCCAGAAATGGCCTGTCGCAGTTCCAGCAGCTTCCTCCCGGCAGCCGATGACGTGACCAGGTCATCTGAGTCAAAGTTCCCCTCTCCACACCAAAAGCCAGCCACTGGTGAGCCTGGGAGAGGCAAAGGCACCTTTCTGCACAGTGAAAATAGTGCTTTTGAGTCGTGGAATGCCCACCAACCGAAGCTGCTGGAGAGAAAGGACACGGCCGGAACAGTCCCAGAAAGCAAAGCTCCCAAGCACTATGGGGATACGACCTTGCTAAGAGAACCCTGTCCTCCTGAGAGCACAGTCTCTCCCTGCAGTCGGGAAGAGAACAGAGTGGCAGCAGGAGCTCTGCCCACATCTGTACCCTGGGGGTGCAGGGATCCAGGATCCCAGGTATTTGCTGTGGAAGGAAAAGCTCCCAGCTCACAGCCTGATAATCAAGAGAAGCCAGCCCAGCCCCCATGGAGGAAACCAAAGACTGGCAAGAAAGGGAAAGAAAGTCTACAAGACGGTTCAGAAGAAAAGACACAGACCAACAGGAGAGGCCCACCTTTGTATACAAAACACAACCCCCAGGGACAGTTTCCAGAAAATGATGCTCTTGACCTGCCTGTGGAACCCAATGAACATTATGATCCCCCCTTTAACATCAGTAAGCTCCTGACCCCCATCATACCCAGCAAGCATGCCCTGGATTCAGCAGAGAGCCAGCCAGCAGAGAGAACCCCATCACCCCCAGGACAGCTAAATGGATACCAAGAGAAGGAGCCCAGTGAACATCAATCTCGAGACAGTTACAAGTCCAAAGCCCCTAGCCTGCTGTTCAACCTCAAGGATGTGCGGAAGCGTGTTAAGAGCACATACAGTTCCTCACCGCTCTCGAAAGGGCTTGATGAGAAAACCAGAGGTAAGGCTGATGGAAAGCAAGAACCCATGAGCAATGGTGTCATCCTCCCCAACGGGCTTGAGGAAAGCCCTCCAAACCAGATTTCTAAGGAGAGACCTGCCAATGACCCCACTGCATCGCACATCAATGCCCAGAAGGACCCTACAGCTGACCCCAGTGAGCCCTCTGCAGATAGCTATCTAACCCTCAGCACAGCTCCAACTATCACCAAAGCCCCCTTCTATGTCAATGGGGAGGCTTCTGAGAGAAGCAGTTATGAGAACGAGGAAGCGGAGCGAGAGTTGGAGATGGGTCCTGCTGGGTCCAGCTGGTGTCCAGACTCCAGGGAACGCCGCTCCAGGAAGCACCTCTCCCTAAGGCTTTGCAATAGGGATCCTGAGCCTGGAGGGGCTACGGAGAAAATGAAGACCCACCAGCTAGAGAATGGGCTCTCCAGATCTGTGTCCCAAGAGACAGAACCTGAGAGGGAGGCAGGACTTCAGAACACACACTTGAACCAGAAATTCTCCCCGGGGCCCCTCTCTCCTGAGGAGGAAGATGTGTTTTACAGTGACAGCCAATCTGATTTCATGCCGAGCCTTAAAGGTAAGGCCAAATTCAGCACCAGCTCTTCAGATCAATCCTTTGCCTCGTTTGATGATCAACAGAAGACGTGGTTTACTGAGAACCAGCGGGAAGAGAGGAGGAAGGACGTGAGTGCAGGTGACAGTCAGAAGGATGAGAAGGAGAATGTGATGGGGAAGGATGAGCCGCAGTACTGCGCCTTAAGCAATGGGCATTCGCACGTGGAAGAGCGCAGCCAGGGGGAAGCATTGCAAAGAGAAGGGGAAAGTGTGTCTGGAGGAAGAATCAGGAAGGCATCAGCAGAGGAAGCTAATTTCAAAGGCTCTCAGATTGGAGGAAATAAAGGTACAACATTTTCACAGGCTAAAGACCTCACCCCCTCCCCATCTTCTGCTTCAAACAAGCACATGCTCTTTACGATTAAAGACAACACCCTCAGAGCCACCCCCGTAATTAAACCTATCATGCTGCCTCTCCTGAGGACCATGTCCTTGGAGGACTCCCTCAGCAGTGGCCACAAAGAGGAGGAATTGTCAAGGCCAGAATGGGATGAGGATTCTGGTTTCTGTGCCCCCGAAAACCAGGACATTCTTGGTACATCGACACCCACTAACACGCAGGGCACACATGTGAAGTGCATGGCCAGTGAGGTCACAGGGGAACCCCAGCAGGGGTCCAGCACAGCCAGGATGGAGGCCTCTCAGCCAGCCCCAAAGGGTCCATCTATGCCTCCGGTAGGAGACTGGGACAGGGTGAAGCCACCCCCAGATGCAGCATACAGCGTCATGGCAAGCAATGGCAAGAGCAGTTCCACAGACCCAGGGAAGCTGGCAGCCCCACAGCACATCCCCACCATCGCTTTACCTGAGGGCGACGAAGAAGACCAGCCACCCCCGTGGCAGCCTGAATCCTGTTGGGAACAGCAGACACCAGGTTTCAAGAGTCACTTTTTGTCCACACCCAGAGCAGGCCCTGCTGGCAGAAGACCGGTCCCTGGTGAGACGGTGAATTCTCCCAATTCCAGCTCCCTGGGGGAGAGCAGCGCCTGCTCCCCTGCCGCCAGTAGCATTTGGGATGAGGCTTCCCAGGCCCCTGAAGAACCGGAGCTGCTGCCCAAGGAGCCTCCTCAAGCCAGCCCCTGGGCCAGCCCTAGTCCTGCCAGGGTCACCCGGAGGGAGGACCTGACCCATGCCCTGGTGTGGGAGGGCGGCTCTGACCCCCAGCTTGAACTGCTGGCAGAAGACCTCCGGACGCTCTCTCCAAGAGGTTCATTGCTGGATGTGGCCACCAGCCCAGCAGGCCCCCCTGGGAGACTTGAGCTTCCTGCACAACTGGAGAGGGCGGCAAGCAAACCACCTGCAGTCCCACCCAAAACGGAGAAAGCCCTACGGAGGGCGAAGAAGCTGGCAAGCAAGAGGAGGAAGACTGACCAGACACAGGAGAAGCATGGCGAGCCACAGGAGGGAAAACTCTGCCCGGAGGACTTGGAGCAGGCAGAGCAAAGGCCACTGTGCCCTAGAGAGAGGCCCCGACACAGTTTCCCCATGGTCCGTTCCCTGCCCCCTCCCATGCACCGCCACTCCGTGTCCAGCTTCTCCGAGTCTGTCGGGAGACGGCCTGGGGGCCTCCAGTCCCTCACACCCCTGCCCACTTACCCCGCCACCCAGAAGGTCCTCCAGGATCCGCAGTCCGGGGAGTACTTTGTCTTCGACTTGCCACTCCAGGTGAAAATCAAGACCTTCTATGACCCAGAGACGGGCAAGTATGTCAAGGTCTCCATCCCATCCTCCGAGGGGACCTCCCCAGAGCCGCCCCCACCGGATGCCCTTGCTGCTCCCTATGTGCTGTACCCTGGCTTCCAGCCGGTGCCCGTGACAGCCTTGATGCCACTGCGCTGCTCGTCTCAGCTCTCCGCCCCCACCTTCCTCAGGCAGGGCCCTCGCGCCTCCGTGGCCCACGCCAGGCCCCAGAGTGTCCACGAGGCTGGACTACAGCTGACCCCAGGGCCTCATGGTGACTGCACCCCACACTCTGCTGGCCAGCGCCCCCATAGGCCTCCGCAGAGCCCAGGAGAGGAGGGTGCAGAAGCTCCAGGCCTGGGCATCATCTCCACCGGAGACCTAGAGGACTTTGCCACAGAGGGCATTTCTTGAGTTACTGCAGACTGACCTCCACCCCCAGATGAACCCAGAGGAGCTGACTTCCCCCTTCCCCAGAACAAGCAACAGACACACACACACACACACACACACACACACACACACACACACACAGAGGCACACACGCGCGCACGCTCACACGCATGCACGCTCATCAACATACTTAGCCTTTCTGGATCCCTAAGTCCAGAAGGCAGTAGGGATCCCGAGACGACCTCACCCGAAGGGCTCCCGGGCTCTCCTCTGATGCAGGGGCGCTGCTTGCTTGGCCTGGTCCCCTCCATGTCAGTTCCCAGGTGCACTCTACTCCAGCCCTTCTCCTTCACTTCCTTCCCCCTGTCCTGGCCTGTCCTGCTCTTCCCTGGCCCTGCCAACCAGGTGGGTGTGGCAAGGGCACCACCTGGTCCTGAGGGTCCCTGTGCACCCGCACCCACCCACTCACTTGTAGGCTCCTTGGTGGGCAAACCCCTGAGGCCCCCAGCTCAGACACAGCAGCCGTTTCAGGTCACCTCAAGCAGACTGGCTGAGGACCAGCCCAGGGCAATCTTGCAGAAATGATTATTTGCATAGAATGGGTTTCCTTCACAGGGAGAAACTTGCTATGAAAGCTATTTTCTGATCAAGAAAAGGCCACTTTTTAAAAAGTGAAACAAGTTTGCAGATAAGGTTCTGTCCCTGGACTCCTGTCTTCCTTCTGTGGGCAGTGGGGTTCAGGGCTGACAGAGCCACTTCCCTGTCTTCCATAGCCTGGCATCTCACCTTGTCCCTTCAACACCTGTCCATGCCTTTGCAGGCCAGGCCCTCTACTAGATCCTGCCCCGATTCAGTGACCAGTACTTGTGCCCTGAACTCAAAAGGAAATTGTGTTCTCACCCCCTCATCCCCTGCCAGTTCCTGACCTTGGGGATTTGGAGAGAAGTATCAGATTAACTCAAGAGTCTGAGAGCTTTACCTAATGAAACTGGTGGCCACTGGCCCAGCACAGTAAAGCCAAAATCCACATTGAAGTCTGTAGTGGGAGAAAGGAGGGTGTTTATTTGCAGGCACGGAGCAAGGAGAATCAGGCAGCTCACACTTCAAACCTGCTCCCCAGTGGCTTGCAAGCATGGATTTTTAATGGCAAGGGAAATTTTCAGGAAAGCAGAAGTCACAGGTGAAATTGTAAATCAATACATGGAGGGTACATATTGGTTTGGCCTAAAAAGGCAGGATATCTTGAAGCAGGGGCTTATGGGTCATAGGTGGAGTCCAAAATTTTTGGAATTGCAATTGGTTAAGGAAGAGAAGCGTTGTTTAAAAATGTGGATTAACAGAAAGGAACGTTAGCTCTGGCTTGTTGGGGGGACTTTCCCCAAGCCCCCCGGGAAGAAATTTAGAACAAAGAGCCATGCTCCAAGTTCAGTCCTCAGCTCCCTCTTCTCTGAGGTCTCTGTGCCAGTGGATCCATATGGTGGGGTCTGGGTTTCTGAAAAATCACTCAGAGACACCTGTTCAGATGTTCTCTTTAGTTTCCAGAGGGAACAAAACACCCCATAATTCTAGCTTACTTGGCTGTTGTTTTAGGTTACTATTACCTTCCCGCTTATCAAGTTGCTCATTTGCTTCTCAGGGCTAGCTGGGTGCTTGGAATTTCCCTTGAAGGAGGCCAAGATTTTCCTGTATTTCCACAGTTGGGGCGGGGTCCCTGCCCCATCTCAAGAGCAGGTGCCCACTTGCAGTTAGGAAGGAAACGAGCACCCGGGGTCCTGGTAGATTCCATGCCACGGCTTCTACCGAAGCCTCTTAATTCTTGCTCTACTGGAAACACAGGGCCAAAACGCGCCTCCCTCCTTGTTTAGAAACCTCAGCAACTGCCGGGACTGTGCTGCCCAGGGTCCAGGGGACCATGCAAGATGCATCGTCCTTGTCCTGTTGTTGCAAAGGTGCCGTTTCCACACTGGGAGGAGAGGGAGGCATTCAGTAAACCAAGTCCCAGACTCACACAAATATAGGGGTTTTGAGCACAGTTGAGGTCATCATTTGGATTCAAGATTCCATACCCATTTGTTTTCCCCACAAGTGCAGCCACACCTCAGGGTATGACAATACCACACAAACCCCCACCCCCACCCCCATCAATGCCATTCAGTTTGGCCACACCTGTCACCAGCCAGGTGACCAGCCAGGAGTACAGGCAGACCACTGTCCCAAAATCTGGTTCCCATGAGTCACTCACTGGGTGCAAGCAACAAGAACGAAGTTGCATTTTGGCCCTGGCTCCAAATCACCTCAAGCATCCTCTCCACTTTGTTTTCATCTCACTAAAACATGAGAAGGAATATCTCATTTTACAATTCTCAGGGTCCGAGGAAAAGAATTGCCTCACAAAGGAAGAGTCCCTCCATTCAACAAGAACCACAGTTATAGTAAATATGTCCCCTCAGGGGAAAATATTACTTTGGGGAACTTATTTTGGGGAAGCAATCTTCTTCCTTAGAACCGTATTGATAGGGCTGTGGGCAGAGCTGTACACATAAAGACTTGCTCCCAACAAGTGAGCTAGAAGGCAGCCTCACTCCCTTACAGCAATAGGCCTGTGTTCATGAAGCAGATCATGCCAGGGCACGCAAGCAGAGAGTCCCCGCCCAGTGAAGCCCAACTCTCTGACCAGTGACGTTTTCCTCTTTCCCTTTGCTCCTGAGAGAGGCCATGTATGCCTCCTTTCTTCTTCCTCACTCTCTCCTTCTCTTTCTTCCTTCCTTATTTCCCTCCCTCCTTCTCTTTCTTCATTCTTTCCTCCCTCTTTTATACAAATGTTTGCTCTGTGCCAGGCACTTTGATTGGCACTGATGGTACCATGACGATAAGATCTGGTCTCTCTACTCAAGGAGCTAAAATCTCACAGAGAGAGAAGACGATCACAATCCCACATATTAAGTAATTTAATAGGTTGCTCTAAGGAGCACCTAACTTGGTCTGGCCTCAGGAGTTGGCACCTGAACCAAGTCAAAAAACACAAAGCTGTCCATTAATTTATGAAAAAAAATCAGAATTTCCCCAGCTATAATCTATCAAAGATGACATTGATTAAATACTAATAGAGTTGTCTTGCCATATCAGAGGGTATTAATTCAGCTAATTGTTCATCAGCATTTCTAGTCAGCACAAAAGCTGAACCAGTGTAGCCTCACAGGATAGACCTTTATTGATAGGTCCTTCAGCTTCTGAATCGATACTTCACTCATAGGGGTTGCCCAGAAAAACCACCATTTCTACCATTGTGTTTAGTAGGACAGTGGTAAGATTTATGAGAACATGTTGTTTGTGGAAATTACAGATGTTGTCTGCATCTTCTGTGTAATGCCCTGGCCCTTTTCTGTGAGTGTGACCCCTCTCAATGTCTCCTGGGGAGAGGGCATGGAGGTGGAGCACCTCCGGGGAACGGTTGAAGGTCCCAGGCTGTTTAGCTAAACATGACCAAGTGCTCACATGATCAAGCATGTACCATGTGCTGGCCCATGAGTGAGGAGCTTGAGCCTGGACGGGGTCCTCCCAGTAAACCCATCCGAGATGCCCTCATTAGCCTCATTTTACTGTAATGGAAACAAAGGTGCCAGGATGGAATGTAACTGCCCACAGTCACAGAGCCACTAAGTGAGGGGTCACGCCAGGGACTTGGGCCGCTCTTACTTCTAGGTGGACTCCTTAACCCTCAGCCAGTGCTTTGTAAGCGCGGTCCCTGGAGCAGCAGCCCCCACATAACCAGGGGCTTGTGAGAAGTCCAGAATCCCAATCTCCATCTTCACAAGCTTCCACAGGTGGTGGATCCATTTGTGTATTGAATTCTAGTGCTGTCAGCCTCTGCTCAGCCTGGAGAAATTTTGGGGCCATGCATTGGATGTCTTCATGTCTCTACAGCATTGTTTTGTGCAAAGGAAAAGAGAGTAGTACATCTAGGTGGGGGAGTTGCAGGAAAGCTGGTTGACATTCAGTGTGAGAAAGACATCTCTGAGGATGAGCATCATCTTTTTTTTTTTTTTTTTTTTTTTAGACAGAGTCTTGCTCTGTTACCCAGGCTGGAGTGTAGTAGCACAATCTCAGCTCACCGCAACCTCCGCCTCCAGGCAAGCAATTCTCCTGCCTCAGCCTCCTGAGTAGCTGAGATTATAGGTGTGCACCATCGCACCTGACTAATTTTTGTGTTTTTGGTAGTGACGGGGTTTCACCTTGTTGGCCTGGCTGATCTTGAACTCCTGACCTCAAGTGATCCTCCCAGCTTGGCCTTCCAAAGTGCTGGGATTACAGGAGTGAGCCACCACACCCAGCCACTAGCATCATCCTGACATGGTGTCAACTGCTGGGGATAGCTGAGCTCCCCGCCACTGGAGACATGGAAGCTGATGACCCCTTTCCTAAAACAAAGATGGACTCAGATATAAGAAGGGACCTGACTATCTTTTGGGACCCCAGGCTACTTTGGGGGCCCCAGTATGCCAGTGGCAAAGATGCGAGGTCACAGGCACGTGATGGAAAACATTTGCATACAAAAGGGGAGCTCTTTGGCAAACCCTGAATTCTGTACATGTGGAAAACATTTCGGCCCGGATACACCATGAAGTTGGACACACCTGTCGACACAGGTCTTCCAAATCATTCAGATATGAAGTCCAAGGTGACTGGAGCAAACTCAGAGCCACATCCCCGAGCTTGTCACCACCAGAGCCTTGTTGAGGCTTTCTCAGTGTCACCACGCAGAGCCGCCTGACAGAGGGCTCTTCCCTTCCACCCGGTGGCTGTGTGGGCTCCTCCCTTAGCTGCCAGCTCCCAGCAGAATGCTGCAGGCTGCCTGGCCCTCAGAATCATTTGTGCACTTGTTAACACTTGTTAGTCATGCAGGCCCTATTTCCAGTTCACCTCATCAGATTGTCCAAGTGTGGGAAAGGGTCACTGCAGAGGCTCCAGTTCCCAGGAGGTTCCGGTTCACCCAAACTCTCAAACGCCACTCCAGAGCAGAGTTCCACACCTGAGCCCCACATACTGGCCAGGCGCTGCTGGGCCCAGAGTTCCGTCCACGGACACCCTCCTGTGGAAGGTTATGTGGAGGAAGGGCCTGGGGGCAAGAAGAACTCAGAGGCACTGTTTTCTCCACCTGGAAGCTATGAAGGCGGAACGGCATGGCAGCTCCGGAGGGCCACCCAGGGCAGCGCCAGCCCTGCCCAGAGCCACCCGGCCTGTCTGCTTCCCGCTACCACACCTTCCCCTCCTCCTGCAGGCGTGCCCCAAAGCTCTATCAAGAGGATACTCTTCCACAGAAGGGAGGAGGAGGAGGGGCATTGTTAGAAATAGACTTCCCTTTGAAGGGAAATTCAAACTTTTCCTCTGAAGGTTTCATAATTGCATCTGCTGAGACAAACTGACAATAGATAGAGTAAACAGAGAAAAGGCCTACAAATTTATTAACATGCAAGCCCAGGGGAGTCGCACGAAGTATGAAACTCTAAGAAGGACCAGATGGTTGAAGCTTAAATACCCTCTTCAGAGGGGAGAGGAAGTTGGGGGTTGCAATTCTGAAGAAGAGTAAATGACTTTTTGAGGGAAGATGATAAATGGGTCTAAAGAGCACACAGTGGCCTAGAGCAAAGTCCCCTGGGTCCTGGGTGTCACATCCACTCCAGTCTTCTTTCCGAGCCTTCTTTCCTATAAGTTCATCTCTGTTTGATGAGATAGGGAGGGGGTCCAAGACAACTGCATTCCTTCTGAAGGAACTTCCCTTCATCAAGAAAGCCCCTCCTCATCCTCCGGGAGAAGCAAAGAGGAGAGGGACAGGGTCGAGAGAAGGTCAGAGGGACCCTGATTCTGGGCCTGCTTCTTTAGTTCAAAGTGTTCAGCATGTCAAGGTGCCACACGTTAGGGTAACATCTTCAACTGGGTGAAGGCTGGGGTCTGAGCAATGCAAGTAGCTGTCCGAGGATGAAGGCGCTCCACTGGCCACTATCCCCAAGCAGGGAGTTAATGTTCTTGTGTTCGTCATTGGCCAAACTGTAGTTTAGTTTTTAAGTCTTTGTACTGTCTCAGAATTTTTCTCCAGCCTCAGCTTGCTCTGGGCATTGTCACATGGATGCCGTTTCCGCAGGTCCTTGCCTAGTGTCAGTCCTGCTCTGGGGTCCCAGCCCTCATGTCCATCTGTTCTGAGCTTTAGAGCCCTCCCTTAGGCCCCTTCATGAGAGCGTTGTCAGCTCCTGCCGTCTCGTCCTTCATGATCATCTCTCTATGTTCCTGTGAATTCGGAGGCCTTGGGCTCGTGTGGTCCTCTTTCCCATTTACAAACGCCATATGTGTGGTTGGTCTCCTTCAGCATTCTCATGCTTTCACCAGCCCATTCCTCCTCACTGAGGAAGCCTGAAAGAGTCAGCAGGCCAAGTCAAGAGTTAATCAAATGGTTGGCTTCTAGCAGAGACTGCCAGTCAGCGCTGACAGAATTGGAGGCCTCGTTGCTGCTTTCTTGCACCGAGTCCTCATGTACTTGTGTGAGGAGTGGCCCCTGCACAGGGCAAGGTGATCTCAGTGCCCCCACTCTCCATCTGTCCTGACTTACACACAGTTACTACATCTCTACTACAGGGCAAGGTGATCTCAGTGGCCCTCTCGTCTGTTCTGACCCACACACAGTTACCACATCTCCACGCACAGGGCAAAGTGTTCTCAGTGGGTCCCCCGCTTCTGTCCTGACCCACACACAGTTATTGCATCTCCATGCACAGGGCAAGTTGATCTCGGTGGGTTCCCCACTTCTGTCCTGACCCACACACAATTATTACATCTCTACGCACAGGGCAAGTTGATCTCAGTGGGTCCCCCGCTTCTGTCCTGACCCACACACAGTTATCACATCTCCACGCACAGGGCAAGGTGTTCTCAGTGGGTCCCCGGCATCTGTTCTGACCCCCATGCACAGTTATTACATCTCCACACACAGGGCAAGTTGATCTCAGTGGGTCCCCCACTTCTGTCCTGACCCACACACAGTTATCACATCTCCACGCACAGGGCAAGTTGATCTCAGTGGCCCTCCCATCTGTTCTGACACACAGTTACCACATCTCAACTGCCTAATGTGCTGGTTTCCCAGAAGGCAAATACCTCTTGATTGAAAACTGATACCTCTTGATTGAAAACTTTTGACCAATGCTTCACATCACTAGTCATTAGGGAAATGCAAATAAAACCACAATGAGATACCACCTCACACCCAGTGGATGGCTACTATCAAAAAGAAAACGGAAAATAACAAGCGTTGGCGAGGGTGTAGAGAAACTGTACACTGCCTGGTGGTCCAAGCCATAGTCCTGGTTGCCGTTCCGCCTGCTTCCAATCTCTTGCCCTCAATTCAGTCGGGCCCCAAACCTGTCAATTCTACCTCCAGGTATTTATCAATCCATCATCCATCTGCACCCACCATCATCCCTCACAGGACTGTTGCTGACATCCCTTCACTGCTCTGACTTCTATTACGACCTCCTTCCAACTGCTCCCACAGGGTAGCCTGAGGTTCTGACTAATGCACCAAAATGTTCCTGCTCACCTCCGGACAGAGCTGGGCTCCAGGGCACAGAGTGCAAGGTCTTCCTGCATTGGAGTCTCCATCCTCTCCAGCCTCATCGCCCACCTGTTCCTACAGCTTCCTTACACCTCGGCTTTCCTGAGCTTCTCCAAGATGACCAAAGAGGCCATTTCTTGCCCTTTCCACATGTCCTTTCCTCTGTGGCT